ACCAAGATCCTGGAAGTCATTCATTTCTCCACCACAGATAAAGCCAAGAATGAGACAAAATTTTCTGCCTTTAGAAAGCTGCTGAGCAGGGTGAATAGAGGGGTTCCACAGGCAATGGGGGCAGTGATGAAAATAAACAGAGATGGAGAGTGAAGGGGTAGGGGGGGCTGCTTTGGAGGGTGCCGGACCCCCCATACGGACATACTTGGATCCTTTTCCTCTCCCCTTGTCTGACCTTGCTGTGTGCTCTTGGGTTTAGTACCGCGAACTCTCACGATGATCCTCCCATGGCCCCAGCCCCAAGACACGGAATCAAATGCCGTCAACACTGTTCTGTCCTGAAGGAACTCTCAGGCCAGTTGGGGAGAGGGGAGGACAGAAGTGAGCCCACCATGGCCAGCCCTCACCCCTGCTCCTGAGCTCCTCCCCCCGCCCCCCACTCCTCCACTGATTTCTCCTCCACACTCAGTCCTGGGCCTTGGACCCTTACTACCAGCTCCCAGAGTAGAAACAGGAATATAGGGTAAAGGGAAAAGCATGGGCTCTGGAGTCAAGATAGTCCTGGGTTCAGATCCCAGCTCCAGCCTTCCCAGCTGCATGCCCTGGGCAAAAGACCTCACTTCCCCAAGCCAACTGTCCTTTAAGTCTCATGACCCGTGCTGGCGGGGCAGGGCGGGGCGGGGGTGGGGTGGGGTGGGGGGGGTGACACAAATCACACACAGCACCAGGCGGCCTCTGCCTTCCTCCAGCTGGCAGAGTCTTGGGCCCTGGAGGACCTCCTCAGGAAGGTTCTTCGTGGGGAGGCAGCGATGAAGAGCTTAAACTGCCTTACTCCCACTATCAGATGGGGAAATTGAGGCCCAGAGTTGGGACATGGTCCAGAGATGTGCATAAGTGCTCAAGACATCGGTGTTGAGTAAGTGGCTGAATGAATGACTACATTTGGGCAGACGTCTTTAGAGCCTTCCATCCTGAGAACTGCAGGTGCCCCTACAGACTTCTAGCTATGGGGTGCAACCCAAGAATGGAAGGTGGGCAGGTAAGCAGCCTGTGACTTGGTGCATGTGCCAAATTATGTGTTTGTGTCTTTGTCTATGGAAATAGTCCACAGTATTTTCATCGATCTTTCCAATAGGATTGTGGACCCAAATAGGTTGAAGAGCCCCGAATTCGATCTTTACCCCGTTTCATAGGTAGGGAAATTGAGTCCAATTCACACAAGAGGTCGATGGCAGAGCGAGACGGAATGAAGCTGGCCTCCCACACATGGGCAGTTGGGAATTCCAACATCCTGTCTCCCAGCCCTGCAGGCCCCTACGCTCCTCTGTGTCTCCCAGCAGGGCCTCCAGCAGCTTTTCCCTTCCTCCCAGCTTCTCCATGGGGAAGAACAGACAATGCACTGCATTCTGGAAGTCTTTGTGCCCCCTCCCAAGACCCTGGATCTTAGCATTGTCACTTTCTGATCTCCCCTCTGGTGCGTGTGCATGCGTATCTGGCACCATTCCGTGGGTAGCAGGCAAGAAGAGACAGCAAAAAATTATAATCTCAGGAACACCAAATGCGCATCAAAGTGCAAGTGGGCAAAAACTGCTTAGAGGTAAATGTACGACCTTAAATATCTTTATTAAAAAAAAACAACAAGAAATCTTGATAAAAATTAACTATATTTTCACCCCCACGAATGAAGAGGAAAATAATTAATAAAAATAAAACATTCCTCAAAGAGATGGCATTAAAAAAGAAGGAAATAGAAGTCTTCTCTTGACGACCCGTAGAATAGACAAACCTTTGGTAAATACGGTAAGCTCAGTGACACGGGGAATAAAGAGCAGAGGACATTAGCTCAGATTCACAGGAGAGTTTAGGAGAGTATCTCCCCACTCCACACGTTGTAACAATGAATTGGAAAACTTGGATGAAACGGACACTCTTCTGGGCACTGGCTGCCAAATGTGAGCGATCATCAGAATCACCTGGAGGGCTTGTGAAAGCAGATTGCCTAGCCCTACCCTGGAGTTTCGGATTCAGTAAGTCTGGGCTAGGGTCCAAGAATTTGCATTTCTAACAAATTCCCAGGTGCTGCTGCTGCTGGTCCAGGCATAGACTTTGAGAACCCCCAGGACTACTATCTGCCCCCCAATCACTCCCTTTCCTGGGCTAACAGCTCCACTCTGTCTGGGCTGGAAAACAGGGGGGTTGTGATCCGTGTGGCCCAAAGCGCCTACTGCTGGAAGACAGTGAAACCAGGCATCTCAGAAAGCTGGGACTCAGGCCGTGAGGCCGTGAGACCAAACTCTGTCCCATCCATGTCTGGCACGGCTGGGTGCTCTCGCCTGGCCGGGCTCACTTAATCCCATGACGTTGGTGCTTTACGGGATTAGGAACTGAGGCACAAAAAGGATGAGTGATTCCCCAAGGCCACAGCTGGTAAAAAGAGGTTGGAATCTGATCCTTACACACTGGACCACTTACTGTGGTACCCGGGAGAGGGGCTGGCTACATCACCCACTTCTCTCTAATTCCAAGCCCACACAGCTGTGTGGGGTGCTCCTTGTTAGCCTAATTTAGCAAAGCCCGGAAGTGGGGAGGACAGGCCTGGAACCCGAGGCTTGGGAAGCTAGAAGGGAAGTAGAGCTGGCAAGGTGCCTACCTAGCCCTGGAGAGGGGGTGGCTGTGAGCTGTGAACTCGCTGACCCGAAGTTCCCTCATCAGGTAAAAAATGGGATCAATAACCATGTTTCCTCACAGGGTTGTTGTGAGGAGTAAGGACATGCTCAGCCCCCTGCCTGGCACAAGCTACGTTCTCAACCTACTGCGGCCTTACTGTTGTCGTTAAAGTTGTTATTATATAATTCGGTTTCTCACAGGCATGTCCACAAACCTTATCTCATTTATTTCTCACAGTCACCCTGGGGGGAGCTATTACCCTTCCTGTTTTACAAATAAGGAAAATGAGGCTCCAGGAAAGCAAGGAGGGACCAAACAGCCCCAAATCACCGGTGGCAGAGCTGGAATTAGAAAGCAGGCGCCCCTGGCAGGGAGCAATGACGTCTGCTCCCTTTGAAGGTCCTTGGAGCCCCAAAAGAGCAGAGGAGGGCTCACCCCCTGGTCCTGGGCACCCTCTCTCCTCACCCCTCACTCTCCAGTAGCCTCATCCCCCCCCCTACCCAGCAAGAGCCAGAGACTTGCCCAAGGTCACACAGCAGGGTGGTGACTGATTCAGGAATAAAGGCTTTAAGATTGCAAGTCCTGAGGCCTCTAGGTCACCGGGGGCAGATTATTAGGAAGAACCCCCAACCCCCAACGTGCTGCCTCCTGCCCTTCTGGGTCCTCGGGGACTGATCCCACTGATAGACAAATACACGTTTCTCTTCAAGATACTGAGACTCTACAAATAACATAAAACAGCAGACAAATAAACAAGACTTATCAGAATAATAGATCAACCATCCTGTGGGCGTGGGAGGGCTGCAGCCACTCAGCGCCTACTATGTGCCAGGCCCGAAGCCCTGCTTTCTCTCAGTATCTCATTCAAGGCGCAGGACAATCCCGCAATGCACGCCTTGTCCATTTCATGAACAAGAAAACCAAAGCCTAAAGATTGGAAGTCACTTGCTCAAGGTCACTGAGCTAGAAAGTGACCGACCCGAATGTGAATGCTCAGTTCTGGCCAGCCTTATTTCCGAGCTCTCACCACGTCCGCAAGACGGGGTGAGAGGGCCTGGCCAGGGATGCAGCAGTTTGCACCTAATGATTTCAGAATTCGAGGGTAGACAACGATTCTGTAAGTCGCCTCCAGGGGAGACAGCCGAGGCTGGCGCTGGGGGTGGCCGCTGGCCGTGAGGTCCTGTCCTGTCCTGTCCACGGTGCCCCTCGCCGGCCTCGACAGTCCCCGCGCGCATGAACGGAGCAGGGAGGGAGTGGTCCAACGCCAGGATGGCCTGCCACGGGAAGGACTCTCTGCTCCCGTTACCCAAAGAAATCCGGCTATTTGCTCCAAAGATGACCAGCCCCCGCGCCTCGCCACTCGGGCATCCCAGGTCCCCACACCTGCAGTGCCATGGGCGGGTTCCCATACGCGACTACTGTCCCCGTCCAATCTGCAACGAATTTCGAGGGGCTGGATCCCCACTCCCCACCGGTGACCCTGGGTCCCTAGACCAGCCGGGCCGGGCACGCGTGGGCACCTGTGAATCACACCTCGGTCCGCCTGGCGAGTGCCAGGGAGTGTCTCCAAAGTGGCCCGGGCGGGGGTGAATTCTCCCCACGCGGGTCGGTGTCCTCGCGAGCGCGGAGCGTGCTGCGGTGCTCCCCTCACCCCGCGCGCTGGGAGCGCGGAGCTTGCGGCGGGAGGTGCGCTCCTTTCGTTGCTCCCGTGGAGGTGGGGTGTCCAAGACGCTTCCGCGGATTCCACAGGGTCGCTCCGGGCTTGCAACTCCATTGTAATTGAAAGAATTCACATGGTTTGGTTTTTACCCAGATGAAAAAATTTGGAAGAAAACGAAACCCCCCTCAGCAAAAGGCAATCTCAGCAGCAGAGCGCCCTAACCCGCCCCGCGCTGCGGCCGGGAAGCGGCCCCGGCCGGGAGGAGCGGGGAGCGTCTGCTAATTGCAGCTTCGTTAGATTTCGGGTTTGGGAGGCTGCGGTTCGGGCGCTAATATCCGCCGCCCATTATCCCAGCTAATAAATTTGACCTATTGTTCGTTTGTTAAAATGATGTCACCTTGGAACAGTCCCTAAGCTCCTATTTCCATGAATTAGGCCTTTATTGAAAGCCGGGAGCCAATGGGAGGAAAGAGGCTTGTTGATCGCAGCCAATGGCTGCGGCGGGAGAGGAATTAGCAGCGGAAACTCCAGGTTCGGTTCAAGAAAGATGACACAGAGCCTGTCGGGCCCGCGCACTCTTGGCAAAGTTTCAGTGCAACGAGAGGCGCCGGGCGCTCCATGGCCGCGCCGTAACAGGGACCCAGCCGCCTCCCCGCCCAGCCCAGCCCAGCCCTTCCGCCCGCCCAGGATGGAGGCGCCCGCCAGCGCGCAGACCCCGCACCCGCACGAGCCCATCAGCTTCGGCATCGACCAGATCCTCAACAGCCCGGACCAGGACAGCGCACCAGCCCCGCGGGGCCCCGACGGCGCCAGCTACCTGGGAGGGCCCCCCGGGGGCCGTCCGGGCGCCACGTACCCGTCTCTACCCGCCTCCTTTGCCGGCCTCGGCGCGCCCTTCGAGGACCCGGGATCTTACAGTGTCAACCTGAGCCTGGCGCCCGCCGGCGTGATCCGAGTGCCAGCGCACAGGCCGCTGCCCGGGGCCGTGCCACCGCCTCTGCCTAGCGCGCTGCCCGCCATGCCCTCCGTGCCCACGGTCTCCAGCCTGGGCGGCCTCAATTTCCCCTGGATGGAGAGCAGCCGCCGCTTCGTGAAAGACCGCTTCACAGGTGAGCAGGCAGCCAACAGGCACCGGGCCTCGGCCCTCCCGGGGCCAGAGGCGCCGCGCCCTAGGTGCTCCACTCTGGGAAACGGTTCTGGAGGCCCAGGCGCGGCGGAGGCCTCAGCGCTCGGCGCTCTGGGAAACCACAGGGGGTTGGAAAATCAGGGAGTTTCGGGGAAATAAGCCTACGCCCAGGGGCAGAGGAGAGTGTCTCCCGCCCGGCTTGGTGCTGCTGGGGACGCGGGGGACCAACGAAATAGCGGAGCACTCTGTGCTCTACCGGGCGACACGGGGTCCGCATGGGGCCTGAAGGGCAGTGGAGCCGGGCTGGGCTTCAGGGGCCCTCGTGTGTCTCCGCAGCGGCGGCGGCGCTCACGCCCTTCACCGTGACCCGGCGCATCGGCCACCCCTACCAGAACAGGACGCCGCCCAAGCGTAAGAAGCCGCGCACGTCCTTTTCTCGAGTGCAGATCTGTGAGCTGGAAAAGCGCTTCCACCGCCAGAAGTACCTGGCCTCGGCCGAGAGGGCGGCGCTCGCCAAGTCGCTCAAAATGACGGACGCGCAGGTCAAGACCTGGTTTCAAAACCGGAGGACCAAGTGGCGGTGAGAGAGGCCTGGCCGCTTGCACCCGCTCTTCGCCCGCCCCGCGCCTCAGCCTCGCGCTCTCCTCATTCTCTGCTCCCCGCTAACCGCCCTCTCAGGGATGCGCTTCCCCACTCCTTCCCAAATTTTATCTCCCTTCTCTCCTTCCCGCCGGCCTGTGTCCGCGCCTCGGCTTCTCCATTCTCATCCGTGTCGCTCTCGTGCGCCTCTCTAACTCTCCGTGTTGTCTTCCGACTCTGCGCCCTCTCGGTTTCCTCTCACTTGCACCTCCACCCGCATCCGCCCCACCCCACCCCGGGCTCTCTCGCACTCCCCTAATCCTTCCCGCTTGCCCTCTCGGATATCCGACAGTCGGCGCGGGCTCCGCATTCCCCCTTAGGCTCCCCATCCTGACTCCAGCCCCGTTTTTATCCGATCCCTATTTCCATCGAACCCGTGAACGGCGAAGCGATCGTGTTTTGGAAGAGAGGTTCGGGAAGGGCCTGGGAGAACTGGGTGAGGCTGACCCGGCCCAGGGACACAGCGCGGGCAGCTGCAGAGCAGCCCTCCCACCCGCGGACCCTAGCGAACTGACTGTCCGCAGGGCCGAGTCAGTTACACGCACGCCATGTCCCTGTTATCCCGCAAAAGAAACATCTTTGTTGTTGGCGAAGCCACAATACCCGGACGTGCAGGTGGGCGGCGGGCTGAGTCCCCTCCCGGCGACCACCCGACACAAAACAAAAACAAACGATGCCAACCCACTCCCCCGACGCGCGGGCCTCGGGCGCACAGCGCCAGCAGGGGTACAGACGGGTCCTGCGCCTCGAGGCTCCCGGCTGGCCTCCGCTCCCGGGAGGGCTGGGGGCCCCGCCGGCGGCCCCGCAGTGCCGGGTGCATGACGGTGCTGTCCCTCTCCCTCCCCCGGTGCAGGCGGCAGACGGCGGAGGAGCGGGAGGCGGAGCGGCAGCAGGCGAGCCGGCTCATGCTGCAGCTGCAACACGACGCCTTCCAAAAGAGTCTCAACGATTCCATCCAGCCCGACCCTCTCTGTCTGCACAACTCGTCGCTCTTTGCTCTGCAGAATCTGCAGCCCTGGGAGGAGGACAGCTCCAAGGTCCCCGCCGTCACCTCTCTGGTGTGAGCCACCAGCGCGCACATTCTTCATGGATCGCCGCCCTTACCCGGCGGGGTGCCCCGGGCCCCCAGCCGGGCTGGGGTGGGGGGGGCCCCGAGGCCGAGAGGGACAGGGGCCTCCGAGCTCGACTAGGCCCCGGGGCGCGGCCGCATCTCCACCGGCCGCGGAGGGGGCTGGGCCCGGGCTCCGCGCGGCTGCACAATCCGAGCCCCCGCCCCGCGCCCAGTCCCGCCCCAGGCCCAGGCCTGACAAAGAAAGCGCCTTACGTTTCTCCGCCCCTCGCCCGCACCCCCCGGGCCGGGCGCCTGTATTATACTTTGTACTTTTGCCCAAACGTGTAAATAATAAAAGTTTTGGCTTTTTTCTTTAGAAACCGGCCACCTGCTTCCCCCGCGGGGGCCGCTGGAGGAGGGGCGGCCGACCAGGTGGCTGGGGGGAGCGCCAGGGCTGGGGCACCCTGCGTTTAGGCTGGGTCCACTCCTCTCCTTTTCCGTTCCTTTTATTTAAGTCGTTTTATTTAATAAAAAAGTTAGCTATTTCACTTAACGCCGCTGTTATTTCGTTTTCGTTCCAATAATGCTCGGCGAACCCGGCCCTGCGCCCCACCCCATCTGCGGCAGAGGCCGAGCCGCGGTGTGCGGGGGCGCGTCCACCTCTCCAAGCTTCGTCGGTTTTCGGCTCAGCTCCAACCACGGCCCGGGGCCCCGGGGAGGATCCGCGGTGCAGGTCAGTTCGTGCCAGCCGCGGCAGTTTGGGTGCCGGCGGGGTGGGGCGGACTGGGAAGGGCACTCAAGGCCCAGAGGTCGAAAGTCGGCGCCAGGCAGGGTTGAGAATGAACCCCCACCCCGCCACCGCTCCCCGCCCCCCGCGGGTACTTAGGTTGTCACAGGCCAGACTCACCTAGGGGGTGAAAGGCACCGTGACCTCGAACTTCTAAGAACTCAGAACCCTCCCCCCACCAAACCAATGACCTCCTCTTTTTCCAGTGAGGCCTCAGGTCCTGGGCGGACCCAAGGACTGGCAATAGGGGATCTGAGCGCACTGTGGGTGGGCTGTGTGCACAGAACCCGTGCACGTCCCGAGTCTCCAAATGCTCCTTGTCTAAGGCGAAAGCGCGGGGCACAAACCCAGAACACCAGCACCCTTGTGGGTTACGTGGGACCACAGGTGGGGCGTGACGTCATGTACCGTCACCGCAGCCTGGTGGCGTCACTGTTCAGGAGAGGGGCGGGGCACCCGGAAACCTTGGAATACCGAGCCCAGATGTGAAAGCAGCGAGGCCCAGTTCACACCCAGGTTTACCTCGGCTGAAAAGCTGAGTTTCAGGGTCACGGGATGAGCGGTGGGTGGTCCCTTCCAACAGGACACACACTCGAAGCGTTCGTGAACATTTCCTCTTGCTCCCTCAGTTTTCCCCCTTTTATTCGGTCTTTTAATTTGTTTTTTTTTTTTTTTTAATTCTGACCTCTCCACTTCTTTCTCCACGATGTTCTCTATTTTCTACTCTATTTGTTACTTTTGGTTTCCGTGTTACTGTAACTTCTGCTTTTCCTTTACAGCTTTATGATTCCATATATAGTTTGTTCAGTATTGCTTTTAGTTTCCGTGACTCTTTGTCGTATCCTGCCCACCCTTCTCTCTCCATTTCTGACTCCGCCGTCCTCTGTCTCTAAGTTTCTTTCCCAGCCTTGCCTCCTCCTCCCCTCCTCTCCTTTTGTTCTTTTTGTTTTCTTTTTCTGGTCTCAGAATGTCTTTGCGCCTAGCTTTTTCTGTGTCTGTCTCCGCCATTCCCTCCATGTCTCCATCCCTTCCTCCTGACCGGGCTCCCATTAGCTTCCTGAGGTGAAACAGTTCTGGGGCTGTCCCACAAACCCCATAGCCGCCCCACCCGCCTCAGCACACCGCCTTTTCCCCAGGCCAAGCGCCACCCTGCGGGCTCGGGTGTTTGGGCAACTTCGTTGTATGCGGGCTGTGGGATTGTCTACACTGGCAGGGCTCAAGAGACAGCAGGGAGTCTAAGAAACACGGGCAGAGCTCCCATGGTGGCTGCCTTCATCTGCACCTCCAAGCTCCACTCGTCCGGACTCATAGACACCCCCAGAGAGGGACTAGAGGGACTCAGATCTTCAGATATTTTCCGCGGGGGGTTTCTTGAAATGATTCCATTTTCTCCACTAAAAAGCATGAGGAACGCCCCCATCGGGATGAAAATCGTTGGCCTTCCAGGATGGGGACTTGAGCATCGAAGAATGACCTCCTTTCCATTTGCTAGCCAAACAGCCCCTTCCTCAGGGACTGACGTGGCTTTCCAATTTCCTTTTTTTTCTTTTTCTCTATAATAAGGCATAGTGGTTTTGTTTTCTAAAATATTTTTGTGGTTTTGCCAGGATGGCCCTCAATTCCTGGGCCTTTTCAGGAAACACACAAGCATCTTTTTCTTTCTCTCTGGTGCCTCCCTTTGAACCAAAGGTCTTTGACCCGGAAGCCCGCCTGGGGTCTGCGTTCAGCCAAGCCTGGGGATGGGAACCTACCTAGTCTTGCTTTGGCTCTCAGGGATGTCAGTACTTTTCCCCACTGGCGCTTTTGCCCTGTCTGAGCGCTTCACCCCTGCCAAGCCTTGCCCAGACAGAGACTAAGGGTCCATCTCAGTTAGGGGATGAGCCAACTCGTGTGGGGCCGAGTCTGGACTGTGTCTCGCCCATGCCCACCCAGAGCTGGGTGGGCGCCCCCAACGGGTAGGACAGATTGCTGGGTGATGCAAGGGTGTTTAGTGTCCAACCCCGTCCTCCCCTTGTGCAAAGCCTGGAGGTTGCCTTTTACATTGTGGCCATGCAGGACTAGAGCCCCAGGATGCCCTGTTAAGGGTCACAGCTCGCACTCCCCACCGTCTGGAAGGCCGTGTTGGCGCAGAAACATCCAGATTAGGCAGCCGCCTCTAAGGCTGTGTAGGGGAGGGAATCTGGAGTAGGCAGGAAAGTTCACATGGGCCTTTCTTGGCGATCCGCTCCCAACATTAGGCCCCACCTCTGCTGGAGGAAGCAGCCTTGGCTCCAGAGGCAGCGGGTACTTGTGGACGCCCAGCCTCACGGGGGAGGGAATTAAGGAATAGAAGCCCAGGCCTCTGGGTGAAGGCTGAAGACCGACTCGTTGCGCTTCCCCCAGGGCCTTTCCTAACCTCGGTTAAAGCGTCTCTAAAGCAGTGCCCATTTTACAGATGCAGGACTGGGAGACAAGGGTCAGCTTTGTCTGCCTGCGCGGACTGTTCTCGCGGGCTCTCCTCGCGCGTTCGTTTTCGGAGTCCACCAAGCAGGGAGGTCTGGGCCCCAAGCGTCCGCCAAGAGGGGTGAGGCTGCCCTGCCCAGGGGCGAGGAGTTAGGCTGTGCTCAGTTTTCCCTGGGAGGCTCCAAAGCCAGTAGAATCTGGGGGGACACGGCCGATCGAGAGAGAGAGAGAGAGAGAGAGAGAGAAGCTCTGGGACCGGCTGCTGGCTTCCCTCAAGTGGGGAAGATTCCCCTTCAGCAGCAGCCTGTCCAGAGCCGGCCTGGGACAGCGAGCTTTGCACGCAGTGTGGTTTACGATGACCCACACAGTATTTCTGCGGGGTTTGGATCCCCCACACCATTCGCCAGTTGGTAAAACGAAGGCTCAGAGAAGTTCGGAAATTGGCTGTGGGTCGTGCGGCTGCAGCGCACCCGCGCTTCTTATCCCCCTAAACCAAGCGCTCCCTCTCTAATACATGGGGGTAAGGAGGGACTTGGCCTAGTGAGGGCTGGGGAGGCGGCCTAGGATGCACCAGCAGCCACCCTGACACGAGGCCCGGGGTTATCTGTGGGGCCGAAGGACCTTCCCACGCCCCGCTTGGGCGCTGGACGCGGCGCGTTCCAAGGGCACCAGCGCCTCTGGGCTGCCGGGCTAGCGCATTTTTGCCCTCGGAGCGGGAGCGGGGAGACTTAGCCGCGCCGCTCCAATCGGCGGTGAGACTAGCGAGGCCCCGCAGCGCCCCTGGGCTGGGCAGCCTTCTCTTGCCGGCGGCGCTTCTCCCAAAGCCGAAGGACGCGGCCTGGTCCACGTCGGGCGGACCGCCCGCTGCGCCTTTCCCGGGTCAAGGCCGGGTGCAGTAGAAGGCGGTGCGCGTGCGTTTTGCCGCGGTCTGGCTGGGCGCGCCGGGTTAGAGTCCTCAGAATAAGGTCTCCAACCTCCCGCTGAGACCGCCCGGCCCAGAATGGGTCCTAGGCTGCGGCAGCGCTGAAAGTTCCTGGAAACCTTCACTAAAATCTCAACCTCGGCCTCGGCGCAACTAAAGCACAGGGCGGCGGCGTGGTGCAGGCGCCGGCATTCGGGAGCCCTGAAGGGTTCTCCACCCTCTGGGCGGGTTTCCTAATGCGGAGCCGCGAGGGCCCGCATTTGCAAGCATCCGCTCTGTTTTATGCCAGGGCCAGTCGCACACTTTCTTGTGGTTCAGAAACTCGCAAAACCCTCACGGACTTGCCACGATGATCGGCGCCTTCCCTCTCGCCACCGACCCGCGGGCTGGACCAAGTTCTCCGCTCAGCTCCGTCACGTTCTTTCTGTATGGCCCCGAGCGAGTGGCTTTGACTCTCTGCGCTTTGGTTTCCACATCTGTAAAATGAGGGCTATATAGTCACTAAGGAGTCTTCCAGGGAAAATAAAAGCCCATGGCTTATCGTACAGTACAGCTGATTATCAGCTTATTATGAGAATAAAAGCATTTAAAAATATATTTGTGGATTAGAAATCTAATTAAACGCCTACTAAGAACGTAGGTGTTTACTCAGAGGTGTTGCTCTGAGAGCGGAAAAGGCAGGAATAGGACCGTGTCCCCCCAACTGCAGTCATCTCTCCTGTCATCACCGTAAGTAGAGTCGTTGGCAGAGAAGTCAGCCCCGAATTTAGGCCTGGTTTGATGGGTTAGAAGTGTCAGTATCCTGGTGTTACCTTGAGATGAGTGGCCATATCTGACTGTCACTTTAGTTAAAATGATCTGATAAAGT